ACTTCTAGTTTGCTCCCCCAACTATGTTCATTATATAAATTTTTTAAAAATATTGCGCTGCCCTGACGAGCCACGAAGTTTTGTCCATAAACAACGCAAAGTTAGCTTATTCCACAAATGGCAATTCCTATGCCAATTGGATGCAGCTCATCTTAAATTTCACTCATAGTTGGTATACAAAGGCGGGTTCATTGCACGACTTCTGCTCACCAATCATCACTCATAACTCACAATGCACAATCGCCTTCATTGTAATGTCGCTTCGTAGTTAGCCAAGTAGTTTTTGTTGCAACATAATTGGACCCTTAACACGAAGAGCATGCAAATTTAACGGTCAGCTCTGAAGTTTGTTTTTATCTTAAGGGTTAATTTGTTAGAGCGAGAGCATTAATCCATGAATTGCGCAGAATTTTATTCGCTTTGTTGACAAGCAATCTATGTACGTACCGAGTAATTGTGTAAGTCGGAGTAAAATAAAAAATAGTTTCAATTTATGTTTTTGCCGACCTTAAAACAAAATTCAACATTTTTTGTATCTTTTGTAAGTGCATTAAAAAATGTATATAAATGTGCCGACACACACCCATAATGTTTTTTTGTGTTTCGTGAAAATGTGCCCTAGGCACACCCACACAGACGCGCACACATAGACACATATACAAGCAACGTTTTATTTTATTCTTATGCGGCCGCAGTATTTTCGGCCTAGAATATAAATTAAATTCCACAACATCAGCAGAGGAATATGGTACAATAACAAGAAAAAAGAACAGATTTTTTTTATCCTCAGCCCCTCGTCAAATGCCCGTCTGTCTACCCATTCTTTCGGCCAAGATTTTACTCTGCATTAATATGAGGCGTCGTCTTGGGTTGGGGTTGGCTTGGTTTGTGCATCCGCAGGGAGGTTAAGGCAGCTCGGCTGGCCGCCTATATCAATGGCCGCCGCTTTGCCTCGCGAGAGTTGTGCTCTCCCTCCAACCAACGGAGCGAGCGAAAAGGATGCACAGTGTGTGCGACTTGAGTGGCGTGTAAGCAATATGTATGTGTGCATGGATAAGCCTCAACAGAAGTACAGTGGTTGTTAATGCTTCAATTCGAAATAGGTATTTAATTTTGGGGCCTAGCTGTTAAGCCATAAAGGTCAGCTGCTTGGTTCGTGGTGATTGCAAGTTTTGCAGATATTCACAGTTTTATCCGATGTTTCTGCTGCAGTTATTGTATGAAATTTGGGCACACCTCAAAATGTTGATTAAAATAAATGAAAGTTACTTCAAATTCGCAGCAGCACGAATACACAACTGTGTCAAGTTTAATCATTGAACAGCTGGAAATACTTGGCTCGTCTGGCCTCTTGCACTGACAAGTAATAATTCATTTTTACGATTGCTCTTCCAAAAATCCACAGCTCGACCTCTTGTCGTTAAAGATAGAAGAAAGGGCCAATTGGTAATACCTTCTGCTGCTTAATAGACTTTGGTTCATTGGGCACAGGAGCTAAGGAGCAACCCTTTGCACAAGGCGGCCCTCTAATTGCGCATCTCTAATGTAATTAAGGAGCCCAAGAGCCCTCCTGAGGCGGTACGCCTGGCTGATGCTAATTTCGCTGCAAAATTACTGAAATTAATTTAATTCCGCTTTGCAATTGGCAGCTCGAAATGCTGATTAAAATTTCAAATGAGCTCCGAAAAAAAAAACAAGAATGAAACGCATACTTTTTGGTACCGCAACCGACCAAAGTTTTATTTACCAGCTTTGGTCGTTACACAGGTATGCATATTTACATACAAAAGTCTAAACTTTAAAATTAACTATTGTCATAAGTATGCATTAATATATCTAAAATACAAATCTGAAAGACAACAGTGCATAATAACACTGTATCTTTATAGAGTATTTTCGAATTATTAGTCGAATTCAGATGGTGTACACATTGGCAGCCATCCACTGCAGACGTAATTTCGTTATTTATTTAAAAGATCATCGACATGGCAAGCCAGAAACTTGCTTCTCATTCCATTACTTGCTACCGGTTCATTTCGCTTGTTGCCGAAGATACATTGATATGTGTACATATGTATGTACACATGTACGAATGTATTTATACAATTTCGACATTGTTTAACCAAATTTCAGACGCATTCCGTGCGCTTTGGTCTCTATGACTCGTTTAAACAAAAATGATTAGGAAATTATAAACAAAAATCGATTTTAGATGGCTTTGAACTGAAATTGCAGAAGTTCTCTAAAAATAGAGTTGCGGATTGCGAAGCAGTACAAATTAATCAAATGTATTTAATAACTAATCTCAAATGAAAATTAAAACTAGCTTAGGTTTGATTTTAATCTAATTTAAGATTAATCAGACTTAAAAGAGGAACTGTATATAGTTTTTAGGTGGTGCAACCGTGGAAAGCTTGTCCGCGAAGACAATCTGATTGTTAAAATATTTGAATGCATATCGAATACGCCGAATAAAAGGGGATGATAACTTTTCAACTGAAACAAACAACAAAAGAACAAATCGATTTTATTTAAAGAAAAAGCCTCAAGTTCTATTCAAACATATACATATTTATACGGACAGCTGTGATTGAAGCAATAGGTAATAATACAGCCATTAGATACATCCATTTTTAAAACTCGAAGAAGAAGTAGATCTCTCATAGAAGAAGATCTCGAATCCCATAAAAATATATATATTCTTGATCATAATCAACAATTTTTCTGTTTTTGCAAGTATCTGCACTAAACGAGCTTGACAATTCTCAACGCATATCGTCAAAGCTGTAGTCAATACGCCTACAATGAATCTTAAGCTCTTTTTCTTTATTCCGGAATTCGTATATAAGTATAGACACACTCTATGAAGTATCAACCCACATCGGGAACATGGCTGCTTAACTATTAACCAAACTCTTTTTAAATATAATTGACGGCTATGACAGCAAATACAAAAAATATATAATATAAAAGTCGAAATTGACTTCAAATATAGATAAAACGCGCGTAAAAAGTTTTACGGGTTAACTGACACCTAACTAGAAGTATTCAGTGTCAATATATGTATCAAACAATTAAAAAGTTGGCAGGCTTCAGGTCCGGGCTGGTTTAAATAAAACAATAAAAACTATTTTAATGTATTTTGCTTCCAATATATTTCGGTTGCACATCGGCAAACCGTCTTCAGGGCAATTATTTTACACGTCTGCGCTTTTTGAACTGGAGATTCAAAGATATTTTGAATTTGTTTATCCTTAATGTTTTGCTTATCTCTTAATTAAATGTTTGGTTAAGAGATAAAGGATGGCAAACTTGAGTGTAAAATAACTTGCATTCCAAGTACACACTTTATTTGGATCGAATTAATTAATAGTTACAACAGGCCTATAGAAGTTTTCTTATGAGTCAAAGTGTGGCATATTTAATTTGAGCATTATCTGCGAAGAGGGAAGAACGGAAAAGCGTTTAATTAAAAGCAAAAACACTGGCGAATTGCGACCACAAATAAAGCAACCAATTGAAGCGGGTGTGGATAAAGCTTAAGGAAACAACAACCGGAAAGAACTCGGGAGTTCAGACCGCACGCAAGCCCAAGCAAGCAAATAAACGAGGTATTTATTTATGTGGCTTCTAAAGACGACAACCATCTACCTCAGACAGATGTGCGGCAGGGGTATAGGCAGACGGGGCCACGGCCAGAGTAAAAGCTGACATTGCTCGTGTTAATTTGAGTGGACGGAGGGGAAGCAGCTTACATAATTGACTGACGGGATAATTTACTTCCGTGCACTTGCGTGTTTATTAAATTTCTAGGGTTGTATCCCAGCATTGATTCAGAAAACAAAACCGCAGCCGTAGCTGTAGGTCGAGCTGAAGCAGTGTGACAATGACATTGGCAATACGATAAACTGGGGCGAGCCATACGTTGATATTTCGTAACCACATGTAGTTACATGTATTCCTCATTAGTTGCCCAGCTCGAAGTCGTGACTGGCTTTGGCGACAGCTTTTAATTGAATGAAAAAGAACAATGGCACAAAATGAACGGACAACTAAAAAAATTGATAAAAAATATACGATTTATATTAAATGACAGAAACTTAGTCAAATACAGTTGTTGCCCAGTTTAAATATAAGTTCTAAACACAAATTAATGATTTCCTTTTTGTAGAATTTAAATGTTTCCCATAATTATACCTTGTTCCGATTAATGTTATAAAAATAAGGTTAAAAAAAAGCAAGTTTTCATTTTATTGGCTTTGTGCCGAGCAGCATCCATTGTTCTCCTCGCATTGCTAAACTTGTACCTGGAGTTTGGGATGAAAGTATGGGCCGACGCTTTCGAACCAAAGGCTTTGCGAGTCACGTTCGTCAGCCAACCCATTTAGTTAGTTAAACGATGAGGGTTGTACCTGCCGCCATCGTTATCCCCATCCTGGCCTCCGCCCTAATGGAATCGGCAGGACTAGCCATGCACCACACACAGAGCAACCACCCTGAGCTGCAGATTCGCACAAGTTGATACTTGGCTGCTCACTGGTGGGCTGGTGGGCTGGTGGGCTGCTTAGTCTGTGGATGGCTATGCTCGATTGATGGAAATCTTTGAGCGCAGCTACATATGAAAACACGTTCCAGAGCTTATCGTCAGGATATGGAAATTTCGCCATTTATTTGATCAACTTTTGCCTTTTTCATATTGAGTCGGCATTTGGCTAGGCGAATGTGAAAAATAAATGGCAAAAGGTACAAAAACTCGTGCCCAACTATTTCATATGCCACACGCATTGCTATTGCCTCGGGATTGTAATTTAGCAAAAATCATGTTGGCAAATAAAAACGGAAACATAATAAGAAAGTTGTGCGGCTTAAGGGCTGAAGTCTGTGTTGTATCTTCTAGATGCACCTGCGCCACACTTTAAATTGATAGTTCGCCTGATGCCATATATTGTTACTTTTATTTCGTTCATTTATATATATATTGGCATGTGGGATAGACTTACCCGTAACAGCTGTCGTCCAAAGTCTCGTCTCTTCAGGGGGTCCTGTAAAAAAAATCCACCTAAAATGAAATGGAGAACAAGGCAATTAATTAAATAACCTATTTAAGCTTATAGCATTTTTATATTTTTTTTATTAAATAAAATTAAATTGCTGGTAATGTCTTTTTTCTGGAGCAAATGCTTAATACAATTATAATTTAATTAAATTAATATGTTTTAAATGTGATCTAACTTATCCAAGATTATAACTCGTCGAAATTATTTATAGATATATATATTTTTAAAATGAGTCTAAAACAGTTCGGATATGTCTGTCATGGTAGAACGGGAAAATTTTCGAGCTGATGGAAAAGTTAAAACGAGAGAAACAATTAGTTCAGGAAAGCCAGGTAAAACAGCCTTGTATTAACATAGTTATCCCCTTGGAATTTTGCCGATTATACATTTTAAATAATTAAATTTAATTTAATCAAGATATACAAATATATGTAATTGCGATCATTAGGAAAGCTTCATCTTAAAATTCAGTTGTCTGTGAATGCTTTTATCACACATCACTTAACACAAATTTACGAGAGTGGATCTCTCGCCCCATTACCTCACACATGGGCATCATCATACAAAACGCCTTTAAAGAAAGGAAGAACAGAAGAAAGGTGGCGAAATTTAAATACCCTTCCAGACATACGGCAGATGTGAGGAAAACTTTCCTTTTTGTTGAAACTATATATGATACAATAGACCAATCATTTTCCTGACTTCAAAATTCGATAAATAAAGGCACGATAAGGCCCGTAAAAAAGGTACGTCAAAAAGCATTTATTGTATTTCTATGTGTTAAATAATTACTTTGAAAATGTTTTTTTTTTTGCTTGAAGGCTGGGCTATTTAAAAATTTGTATAGCTAGCCCCTTAATTTTCTACTGACCCTTGCTAACGAAACTAACCTTTGTACTGTGTGCAAAGTTTTCTGACGTATTCTTACGGTTTTAAACTGGCAGATCAGTTTGCGCAGATAGATAGACGGGAATATCTATATCGAGTGAGCTGTCGATGTGGTAGCAAATATACATATATACATTTTGGGTTTTGACATATACGAATGGGACATGTTTCGAAACAAAATTAAAACACCCATTGCAAGGGTAACCCTTTCGTTGCAAGAGCGCCATTGAATTTAAATAAATTTGAAAGACGTGGGCAGATTTATGCCGGAACACGCTCCTCATTATTATTTCACGCTTATCATTTTATTTCATTTTTCCATAGTCCTTGCGCGCTCCTCTTTAGGGCGAGATGTGGCGAATATGTCCGCTGTCTTGTTTGCGGAAAAAATGGAATACAATAAGTTTATAGTTGGTTTCCTGGCTGGGATCGGGCAGGAGCGATACAAAAAAATGTTTTTATATTGATGTGGGCAAAATGTAGTTGAGTGCGTCGCTGATGCATTCATATCCCATTGGGTCCAGTTCTGTGCCGCACACTTGTGTCCCTGTGCTGCCGTGCGCTCCATTACTCGCCGCTTATTTGATTACGACGTCGCGACGCGTTGCGATGGCCACACTTGTCACACCCCATCCCCACACTCTTAGCATGCTTGCGTTACTTTTATAGGTCATATGGTGGCCCTTTGGCCTGGAGATGCCTTCAACCCCACCCGTTCCGATTATTCTCCTCGAAAGCAGTGTGAGCTCACAGTAGCCATCGTCGTCGCCGTCGAATGGTCGCTTGTTTGTCTATTTGTTTGTTCATCAGACTCCCGACCACCCAACCACCCAACCACCCATCCACCTAACCACCCGGGCGTAGCGCATAACAAACAAGAACGAGCAATTGACCAGCACAGGGCTTCCAAAGCATCCATCTATATTCATCCCGCTCCATTTCTATTCAACGACGTCATCATATTTTTTCATACGAGTGTGTATCATTTTTCCGGCTGCTTTTTGGCAAACTTTTTAGCTGTGTTGTTTCTCTTGCTGCTGCTCGGTTATAGTTTATTAGTCAAATATAGTGCCCAACTTTAACTCACCGGCCTTACCATATTCCCCAATGGAATATGCTCGTGTGCATAAATTCTAGTTAAGTATTCCCCAGACTGTGCCAGGAACATGGTCGCATGCAAGGAACACTTATCCCGTATTACTCTAGCAGCTGTATATGACAGAGTCGGCTGTCTGCCGTCTAATTTCGCTCGGACCTCCTGCTCCTGTCTTAGATTTAGCACTTTGTTTTTTCGCGTCTGTGTCTGGCTTCCAAATTGGTTACATTTTCATAATGAGGCAGCTCGAGCCTGACAACCAATTATCACATCGGGCCGGGAATTGACTAAGTCCGTTTACGTTTGAATGTGTAGCTGGCGATATGGAAATACCATAAAACTTCTTCAAACGCCATAGTCCAAGACCGCCAAACTTTTTCTCATTAGTATTTTCCATTTCCAGAAGATTAGCAGCCAAAGAAAAGATTGACCACGTTGCCCTCTCTTGGCGTTGATTTCTTGAAATTACTCTTGTTCAGACATATTTATGACCGATGCTATCGAAATGGGTGCCAAGACTGCTGACCTAATTGGATATTCGATGAATGAAGAACCAATGGGTTTCAAAACCCATCTATAGGTTTCTTTAAAATGAGAGCTTCAATTACATTGGTATGCCCAATCTGAATTCCAAAATAAATATAGTCATGATCAAATCGTTTCAAATTAAAATAAATATGAAGCTTCTGTTCCTTGTGTGGTCAATTGACTCATGGCAGAATTTCTTGGGCATTACGACAATATTCAAGTGAAGTTGTGAATTTCAACAAATTCAAAAAACTAAATACATCAGAGACTTTTGAGTAATAGGAAAATACATGTCTGTTATACATTTACCGTACAAACACGAAACGTATACTTTCCGTGCAGATCTACCTGATGTACACTCGACGACACCCGCTGTGGAAGTAGAACTTCCCTGCCAGGCTCTAGCGGCGCACAGCAGCTGCGAAAGGGTTCCGACTCCGTATGCCTGTACTCTTGTGCCGCTCCAAATACAATTACTAAATGCAGAAAACCAAGAAATTTTCGTCAAAAAATGAAGCGTCTCTAATGTTCCAGGAACCACGACGTCGCCGTTGTTGCTTTTGTTTTCATGACTGAAAAGTGAAAGTACGAACCGCGCGTAGCCTCCGTTTATGACAGCCATAAAAACTGCAATTTTCTAGCTGAATTTTTTCCGTTCTCTGTTCTCCGTCTCAATTGGTTTTCAGCGAAGGGGTTAAAAGAATGGCCGCTTGGTGGTCTGCGATCTGCCTACTTCTGTCGCTGCCTGTGGCTCTATATATGGGCCATGCACCCGTGGACCACATGCTGCCGGGCAGCACAAATATTTGCAATCGCCAGCTGCATTTGTTTTCAGAGACACTCTTTGTTATGTCAATTGACTGCCGTCTGTCTGCGAAATTGATTTTATAGACCAATCGCCTAAGAGCTCCTCAACTACATTTTTAGTAATGGCCTGGGTCCAGCTAGAAGTTCCGCATTGAAGCTTCAAATTATATATGTTATGGAGAGCCCTACTCTTAACTCTGCAGGGCGGATCAACGAACCCAAAACTGCAGATGTCGCTGTAAAAGCTGTCCAATACTTCCTCAAAAAAACCACAAATGCTTCTTTTCATATTTTATCATTTTTTTTTTTAATTTCAAGTAAAAATGCTCCACTGGTGCATCGCAGGAGGTGTAGCAGTCCCCAGCGGCAATGGCTCACTGCTGGACGCAGTTCGCTGCAACAGTAAAATGCATAAATTGCAACTTTGGCAAAGCCGATTAGCTGGCCAATCGGGGGAAACGGGTTTTGTGTATGGAATTATAATAAATATTGCAATCGTATCGCCACACCCGTTGCCAGCAAATGGGCCATGCATACGTATATACTTTACTTAAAGACTGAAACTTAAGTCCTTAAAAGAACCTATTCTATTTAAAAAAAAGTGTCGATTAGATGCGTCTCTGAATAATAACTTTATTGTACAATTCTTTGATAGCGGCATTGCAAATATATATATAAGCTATGCATTCCTAACTACTTATAATAAAGATTTCGTTTTTATTTGCCGGAAATTCTTAGATATCGGTTACTATCTGGTATTTGAAAAAAGTATAATGGTTGATAACAAAGAATATAAATATATATGTTCATATAACAGAATAGATTTAGATATTTATACCATATAATCACAAATTTAAAAGCATTAAATTATCAATTTAAATTAGATTGTACCTCAAGGATTTATTTCGCACTATTTTTTGAGTCTCTTCAGTTCAAAGTATACAACTTTAACACTATGCTACATGCAAAATGATTAAATACTGTCCCCGACTGTTGTGTTGCACTGAAGGCTCTCATTGACGAAGACAATTTTTTTTATTTTTTGTATTTATATGGCAAAAGAAAGCTTTTCTCCCCGCAGAAAGTATAAACATTCCTGAACAGGAGACTGTCCATATGTGCGCCTTTCTGTCTGTGTCAATACGTTGATCTCGAAAACTTTATTTGGGTATAGAACAAAGCTAAAATGCTTGCAAGGTAACCCGGTGTAGGGTTTAGGCTATCTCCCTCTTCTACTTGGGTTTGCCTTTTTTACATATGAATTGTTTTATTTAAGCAAGTTCTCCCACTCCCCTAAAAAGTTGAAAAGAAAATTAAAAATAAGAAAAAAATATTTCTAAAAATTCAAGTTTTTAGAGCTGGAGCTATTAAGTTTGTGCACAGTCTTAGCTCCAAAAAAGTTCATTTTGCGACACAGTGTTATTTGAAAGGCAGTGCGCATGTGCGATTTGTCGCACTGCCGCATTTCATCATTTTATACAAGTATTTAGAAATGTGGGAGTGTGGGTGTGGGTGTGTGCAAAGGTTAAAGTGTGGTTGAACGAAATGCCAACCATATTGCAGCGATATCTTCAAATAGACTGGGACTCATCTGGATGAGCAAAGAGCGCGTCTGGCACCTTGTGCATGTGTATGTGTGTGCGTGCTGTCACGACGGCTACCGGCTCGAGAATAAATCCAAGT